AGGGGAAATTCCCTAAGTTGTTTTTCTGTGCCCTTGCTTAACAGGAAATCTCTCTCCTGGGACTTCACTGGTCAGTCTAGGAGAAAAGATGACCCCCATTTTTAAGGGAGTCAGAGCTTTCTAGAAACTTTAACTGCCTCTGATTTCTTATAGCTTTGACTTCTGGAAAGTTTACAGGAGGTTGTTTTGTTCCAAAGCTGTTCGGAATTCGTCCAAGGATGAATGCTTCCCTCCCCAACTTCCTTGGAGCCTCCTTGGGAGGGAGGGAGGGGTGGATGGACAGTCTGGCTTGGGCCATGTCCCTGCCCTGGAACCAGTCACTGTGGCTAAGATAATGAGGTCCTCTTATAATCCGAGCTCAGTCACAGAATGGACAGAGATTTGCCCATACCCCATTGTGCAAGTGAGGAAGAGATGGGTCTCCACAAAGACGTGACACGTGGCAAAAAACAACGTAGCTTTCTCTTTGCCTTCTAGCTGCTCAGCACCCTGAATCAGATCCAGAACCAGAAGAGGCCACGCCTCTATGGCGGCCTGCCCTGAAGCGGCTGTACTTAGAAAGGCCAAGGGGCATCACGGTGCATCTCCCGGTGGCCAGTGGCCAGGACACACCCTCACCTCAAGGTAGTTCCTTTCTCCCGCCGGCAGCCCAAGGGAACCTCACTCTAAACCGAAACAAGGCAAGACCCAGGAGGGTCCTCCATGGAGAGAAAGGCTTCCAGGGAGGTTAGTCCATCCTCGGCCTCTTGAAGATGGCTGTAGTTCAGGCAGCAACTGGTTAACCCATGTGCTTCGAACTAACTGTATCTGGCTTGCAAGTGACTTATTCACTGAATCAGCCCTCCATAATATTTTCTGGTTACAGATGCAAAACGGCACTAACGTGACTGAAAATTTGCTGCATGCCATGCCCTGTTACTAATCTTGTTTTTAAGCAATGAAATTTCATTCCTAATCTTTTATAAATATGTGCTTATTCATTTAAAAGTTTGTTATATTGATAAAAAAAAAAAAGTCTTCACATTTTTTCAAAATATATGGTCATTAGAAGTTATACACATGAGCCGGGTGGTGGTGGTGCACACCTTTAATCCCAGCACTCGGGAGGCAGAGAAAGGTGGATCTCTGTGAGTTCGAGGCCAGCCTGGTCTACAAAGCGAGTTCCAGGAAAGGTGAAAAGCTACACAAAGAAACCCTGTCTCGAAAAATAATAATAATAATAATAATAATAATAATAATAATAATAATAATGAAGAAGTTATACACACGGGGCCAGGTATTGTAGGTCACACCTTTATTCCCAGCACTTGGGAGGCAGAGGCAGGTGGATCTCTGTGAGTCTGAGACCAGACCACTCACTACAAAGTTTGTTCAAAAACAGCTAGGGCTACACAGAGAGACCTTGTCTGAAAAAAAAGACAAAAAACAAAACTAAAAAATGTTAAAAATAATAATAAAGAAAGAAGTTATGGGTATGTTAAAGTGTATATTTTAATGTAGTAAATAGGTTGGAAGTGGTCAGCCACATGTGAAAAGTTCTCCGTCTTCAGAATCCTGAGCCTTCCTCACATGCAAGATGACAGGCTCATGAGTGGCAGGTGTCCACAGGTGGCAGGTGACCATAAGCGACAGGTGTCCACAGGTGGCAGGTGACCACGATCGGCAGGTGACCACAGGTGGCAGGTGACCACGAGTGGCAGGTATCCACAAGCGGCAGGTGACCACAGGTGGCAGGTGACCACAAGCGGCAGGTGACCACGAGCGGCAGGTGTCCACGAGCGGCAGGTGTCCACGAGTGGCAGGTGTCCACGAGTGGCAGGTGACCACGAGTGGCAGGTGTCCACGAGTGGCAGGTGACCACGAGTGGCAGATGACCATGAGTGGCAGGTGTCCACGAGCGGCAGGTGACCACGAGCGGCAGGTGACCACGAGTGGAAGGTGACCACGAGTGGAAGGTGTTCACAAGTGGCACTGCAGCTGGAAGCAGGCGGGGCGCTCATCGATCTATGCTGAGTTCCCCTCTGTGCCAGGCTCTGCTCTCGGTCTTTAACAGGCACTCTCTCAGGTGCCTGTCACGACAACGCTGCCTTCGTCTTACAGACCAGAAAACAGACATGCCAAGAACCCAGTGCCTTATCTGAGGCCCCACAACTCAAGGGGCCTTGCTGGGACTGGAGGTCAGCACCTCCCCATGCTCAACTCCGTTCTTGCCCGTTACCCTGCGTTGCCCGTGAGAATAGACACAATGAGGAACTAGGGTAGGGTCTTCTTAAGAGGTATTGTCAGAGTGGGGGCTTAGTTAACCGCCTCCTACGTAAATGCCAGCCATCCGCTTTGCAGCTTCCTTAGAGCTAGTACCGGCAAGGACTGCCTTCTGCCGCTTTCCGGTGCCCAGCCAGAGCCACGGAGATAGAGACGGCGTGCTGGATCTCACCCTTAGCATTGCTCAGCCTGTACTGCCCGGCACTCCCCTCTCACCTACTGAATTCACCCACCAGGGGCTGAGAGTCAAGAGCCAGCCCATCTTTGGCAGCAATACCAGCTAGAAGCTAGCCTATGAAGTCTCTGATAAGTCAGAGGGTCATAAGTTCAAGGTCAGACACCCCCCCAAACAGTGACACCCCAACTCAGAAAAAAAGGAGGTGCCAAAGAGGAAAGCTTTTTCACATACTATGTCCCCCACAGACCTGGCGCAGGGTATTGGCAGCTGGTAAGTGGGATTGTCCCATGCCCACGAAGGCTGCACATTCCCATTCTCTTGCTCAGCCCTAGGAGATTTCCCCTCTAATACCAGAAAAGTGAAGCCAGCTTTGATGTGTTTCACGCATCTGCATACACACATATTTTATTTTACTGTAGCACTATGTGGGTGTAAGTTGCAGACATTATACAGGCTATCAGCAAACGATTCTGTCAGCCACAATACTGTTATCACGTTAAAAAAAAAAGTTAGTATTGGTGCAGAAATGGTTTCTAGTATAAAATATATATTCAAAATTTTCCAGTTATACCAGCAATGTTCTCTATGGGTTTTTATTTGTTTGTTTCCCCAAATAAAAATCCAGTTCAGGACCATGCAGAGCATGTAGTTCTCATCTCTCTGCAGAGACTTTAACCTGCAGGAATTCTCTAGGCATGGTTTGTCCTGTGGGTTGTTGTTGCTGCTGTAGTTTAGGTTTGGGTTGGGCAGGGGTTGTTGTTGTTGTTGTTGTTTGGTTGTTTGTTTGTTTGGTTGGTTGGTTGGTTGATTTGGCTTGAAATCTTCTGTTTGTTTGATCAGTTTGGTTTTGGTTTGGTTTAGTTGGGTTTTTCAAGACAGGGTTTCTCTGTGTAGCCCTGCCTGTCTTGGAACCAGCTCTATAGACTAGGATGTCCTCGAACTCAGATATCTGCCTGCCTCTGCCTCTCAAGTGATGGGATTAAAGGCGTGCACCACTACCTCCCTTCCAACTTGGTTTGTTTTTTTGAGATGGAATCTCACATAAAAATATAGCCCAAGCCGACTCTGAACTCACTATGTATCTGAAGATACCTTGAACTCCTGATCCTTCCGTTTCTGTCTCCAAGGTGCTAGAATAACAGTTGCTCATGGGTACATCAGGTTTCCAAGTTAGTTTCTTATGACATCAGTGACGGTATATTCCATAGGAAGTGACGCTAACCTGTATTGGGTCAAAGGCAGTGTAGATTTGTCCACTGTAAAAGTACTTTGTCATCAGAAATCTGTAGCCAGCTGGGTATGGTAGCATAGGCCTGTGATCCTAGCATTTGGGAAACTGAGGCAGAGAAAGCACACTTTAAGGCCAGACTGGGCTGCACAGTGAGATATTATTGTCTCAATAGGAAAGAAGATGGTATGTTATAATCAAAATCTCCTGAGCCCTCATACTCAGGGTCTTCAGACTGGGGAGTCTGCAACCTCTCAGGTCTGTCCCCATCTCTGGATCCCTTCTATGAGATGACAGTCCCAGCTACCACTTCTCCATGCCTCCCGACTCTGGCAAATTCCTCAAAGGAAGGGCTCCTATTCTAGGCAAGAGCAATTTCACTCTTCGGCTCCCTACTCCTTAGCAGGTCTGGAAAGGAGGAACAAAGCCAAAAACAAACAGAGCCATTATTCCGAACACCAGCAGCTGTCAACCAAGCCAGAAAAGACACAACTGACCTTCCTGATCCTAGAATTTTTCCCATTTTGCTTTAGGAGATGGTGATAGCCTGGCCAAGGGTGAGGACCAACCACTGCACCTCCCGCCCCTGAATAAAGGGAAAAAAAGTCCAGAGATCCGGAAGGACATGGACAGCTCCAGGACATCAGCCTGCAACAGTCCCACAGGTCGCTCAAATGAGGGGGCACTGCCAGCAAGACCAGGTAATCATTCTAGGGTACATGTAAACCTTACCCCATTGTCTTTCCTTGGCTCCTGTCCAGGTTCCCCACTAAAAAGGGGGAAATGGTGGTATTCCCAACTGTATTAGTGAAATTAATGTTCAGCCATCCCTAAAGAGCCTGGAGAGTTTGGAGAGTTTGCTGCACCCATACACACCAAGCTGTTTCCTCCTTCCGGCAACCACACGTGATGACGCGGCTTCCTGCGCTCCTGGCTTGCACACCACTGAGTTCAGTAGACACACTTAACACTACTCCAAGACAGAAACCCCCCTGGGCACAGGAATCTGCAGAGCTTGCAGTAGATTAAAAAAAACTTCCAGAGGGAAATCATCCTCCAGCCCAGGGCAGACCTGAGGCCTGACCACAGGAGGAAAAAGATGCTGCCTTCCTATCCTAGGATGAGACAGGGCAAGCCTCGCCCTCTGTGGCTGAGCCCCACGTAGAGGCTGGCAGCCAAGGAGCGACCAAGATCAATAGCAACGCCGTAAATCAGTGCGGTAGCGGCTGACATGGGGCTTTGAACCGTAGGCAGTTCAGAAAGCCAAAGTTGCTGAGAGTCTGGACTACCCCTAAAAATCTCAAGAGAGGTGCCATGCTGGAAACTGACAGGCACCTGTCAAAGCAATGCAGGGGAGGGACTGAGGAGCCTGCTCCGCAGTGAAGAGCATTTGCTCTTTCAGGGGGCTCCTGGCCTGTTCCCAGCACCCAAGTATCGTAACTGCAGTTCCAGGGGATCTGAAGCCCTCTCCTGGCCTCCTCGGGGACCAGGCATGCACATAGCATATGTGCATACACGTAGGCAAAACACTCACACACATAAAATAAAACCAATAAATAATAAATCTTAATATATTTTTTAAATGCAGTCCATGCACTGTTCCTCCTCCCTCAGAGCTTTGGGCCACGTCCTCCTCTGGGGAGCACCAGATGAAGGGGCTGGCAAGTGTGGAAGAGGCTTCTCTGTTCACAGCACAGCTCCCTCTGAGAGAACCGGGGAGCTGAGAGCCGCAGGGAGACAACAGACGCCTACCCTTTCATGCTGCTCAGAAACAGGGGGGCTCTATTTAAATCAACCACTCTCCCCCTGCCCCGTCTGTCTCCCCTTCCGTCTCTCATTCTGTCCCCCGAAGAGTGTGGGGTTGAATTCTTGTAAGCATGAATTAAATATGTAAGTCAATAACTCTGTTCTGTGTTTGCAGTTTCGCTGTTTAGGGCTGAGGGAGTCACAATCAAACCCTTCCTTCCCTCTCCCCTCTTTCCACACAAATGCCTTCGAGACTCTTTTTCTCAGCTTCGTCCCCTCATCCATGGTACAGACGGCCCAAGCTTGACGAGGGTCCCTTCTTCACCAGGGGCCATCCTGGAGGTCAATAACCCTAGATAAATCATAGCACGTGCATACACATGCATGCATGCACACCAGAAAATATGATTATACTAGAATGGTACAGTCATGACTAAGACAAGAAATCCCAAGTGTATATGTTGGATGTGTGTGCATGTGTGAGTGTGTGTGAGTGTGTGTATACTCATGGATCTCGGTGTGCTTGGTAGTATATGTATGCTCATCTGCCCATGTGAGTACACGTGTGTGCTGTGTGCCTGATGCATACCTCTATGTGTCTGAGCATGTGACAGCACACGTCTAAGGTGCATTCAAGCCTGTGACAGAGTGCATGTTTCAGTGTATTGTGCCATTGTTGTATGTGGCATGTGTATAAGCTTGCATGCCTGCATGCATGTGGCTGTGCATTATGTACGTTTGTCTTTTGAGAGAATGCACATGTATGCACATGTGTTTGTATCTTTACACACATGTATATGTTTGTAAGTGAATTACGTACGTGCCCCTCAGCATCCACTCCAGCTAGAGGCCTGCCTTTCTACTGCCCCTTTTTGGAAACAGGAAAAGGAAGATTAATATGATATGAACTATATTTAGCTTTTGCCCCTGGTTTCTGTCACAGACCTAAAAACCCATGGAATTTCCAGAAGTGTCTCTTCTTGCTCATGGGAAGCCTCTTGGATAATGACAGAGATTATGCTAATGGGGTCACATATGCTCAGAGAGGGTGCGCAAGCTCCATTCCCCACCCTGTGCATCTCACTGGCTGTGGGCTACATTCCTGAGGACACATTAGTAACCCTGAGTGTCTTCTGTGAGTGTCCTAAGAAAGTATCAGATTCAAGGAGGCAGTCATGGAAGCCTGGTTTATAACTGGTGGGTTAGAAGCACAGGCCACAAATGGGGGTGGAGTTGGTTGTTTTTGCTCTTTTGGGAGCCACAACCCAGCTTCCAAATAAATCACATGCGGAGTCTTATTCTTAATTATAAATGCCCGGCCTTAGCTTGGCTTGTTGCTAGCCAGCTTTTCTTAACTTAAAATTATCTTGTCTGCCTTTTGCCTCTGGGCTTTTTCCTTTTCTTATTTCTGTAATCTTACTTTCATTCTTACTCCGTGTCTGGCTGTGTTGCTGGGTGGTTGTCCCCTGGAGTCCTCCTCCTTCTCTGGCTTCTAGGTCTCCTTGCTCTTTTTCTCTTTCTATTTATTTTCTCTGCCCACCAGCCCGGGCCTATCCTTCTTCCTGCCTTGCTATTGGCTGTTCAGCTCTTTATTAGACCATCAGGTGTTTTAGACAGGCACAGTAACACAGCTTCACAGAGTGAAACACATGCAACATAAAAGACTGCAACACATCTTTGCATCATTAAACAAATGTTCCACAGCACAAACAAATGTAACTTAAAATAATATTCTACAACATGGGGACTTGCAGTCAACAGTTAAAATGGGGACAGCCTTGTAGATCTGAGCCTTTAACCTGGGGAACTGACGTTACCCCAGGTAGAGGTGCCAGCATTGAGCAGAAGTATAGGAAACCCCACTGCTGTTGTCTCTAGAGAATGGTTTGGCGAGGGAAACCTCCACCCACCTGGTCACAGGTGTTTTCTGTGCCAGGACTGGGAGCAGAGGAGGAACATACTTTTTTTCTTTCATGGTAAGTTTACAAACACACCTTGAGTCTTTGCAAGTAACCAAGAGACAGACAGCTTCTTTGTGCGGCCTGGGCTGGACTTCCTGTATAGTCCCAGCACTTGGTCGCAGTCTGTGATCACACACGTGGAATACCACACAAAGGCATCGACTAGGAGGAAAAGCAAAAAGCAGGAATCACCAAGTTGTGGGCCCACAGACTAGGCCACACTCAACTGGAGGAGGCCACACTGGCCTAGAACTGCCCTCAAAATGCCCAGAGCTGCTACCTTCTCCAGACTCTGCATGGGTGTGGTGTGGCTCGTGGAAGCCCCTCTATCTTGTGTGACCCCCAGAAGAAAGGGCCCAGGCAATAAGCCTACTCTGCCAGGTGCCTCAGTGAACGCTGGTGAGCGGAGGACACACCAGCATCTCCATTCACACCCCACCTGGGCTCAGGAAGTACAGCCAGGCTCGGCCTCCCTCACCTGCCCTGAGGCTAACGCTGCCCATGCATATTCTTACTTTCAAGAAAATTCCAGAGACCCCACACTGGGACACTTCGTGCGGAGTCCAGATGGTGAAAACGTCTGTCTGTCGCTCGAGGGGCTCACGGGAACGGAGGCGCTTCCACCGGGACAAGGTAAGAGAGCACACTCCAGGGCAGCCTTGTTTTCGGTTTCCAAAGGTTCCCAGCGGCCGCAGAGGCATCATTAAAAGCAGCAGACGCGAAGCAGCCAGCTTCTCCCACTTCCCTGACACAGAGGTTCCTCTGTGGTCCAGACACAATAACCCTATGTTCGAGGAACAAGTTCCCTCTTGCCGGAACATCTGGAGACAGGCGGTGCAGGGGAATGGCTTGGAAGAGCTCTGGTGTGCCATGCTGATGCCTTGATCGGGATGATAAAGCCCTTTTGGTATTTGCCCAATCTAAACAGGGCCTTCTTCTCTTCTTTCCAACCACGCTCCTGAGGTGGAGGTGGCTAATTGGTAATCCAATCAGGCATCCTTGTTATGTGCGTTGGTTCACTGCTGTGAGTCACCTGGCTCCTGACAGACAGCGAGGCAGTTTCCAAAACCCCTTTTGGCACGGCAGCTTTCTGGAAGAGAGACGCTGGCTCTGGGCAATGGCCATTTTGCAAAGGAAAAAAAAAAAAAAAGAAATGAAGTCAGAGGGTGATGAGTGTCAACCACCCAGAAACCATCGGGCTGGGCCTGCATGAGCTGGTGCAGCCAGCAGCCCCCTTGATGAGGAAGATTAAAAGCTGCACGCATTGGTGGGTTATGTCACAACTGGCTTAATGAGAAGGGCCTGGAATCGGGGCCAGATTTCCATAGCCCTGGCTTGTCCTCTACGTAGCCTGATGATGTTTTCTGTGTCCATGGTTGCTCACCCACAATGACAAGATACACACACACACACACACAGAGAGAGAGAGAGAGAGAGAGAGAGAGAGAGAGAGAGAGAGAGAGAGAGAGAGAGAGAGAGATCCCTTGGCTGCATTTTATAGGCTATGACTATTGCTGTAAGTTCCACCCATCATAGGGATTTCTGGGAAGTCGGGAGGTACGATGCATTTGCTTCTGAATTCGGCATCCAAGAACTCCCATCCCCATTTGGTTATACCAGAAGATGACTTTTTAAATATCTTGGGTCTGAATCTGTTGGAGCAGGAGCGAGACAGTTGGAAGGACTCTCCGTGGTACAGCTGGTGGGACAGCCGGGGAAACAAATGGGCCAGTCACCTGCCGCAGCACATTTGTCCACGCGGTTCTGGGAGAAACAGCTTCTCTTTGGACAATGCAAAGGCAACTAGCAGAAACAGAAACGTTTAAGTATTATGTCTGTTGCTGCCATGTAGATAGGATGCTTCAGACACGTCAGTACCTCCAGCTCCCGTCCCAGTTCCTAACGCATGAAGCTGGATCGTAGCCAGTGTTCACTGAAAAGGAGGAGTTCAGGGACTGGAATGGACTTGGGAGAGGGTGTTTGCCTGGCATGCACAGGGTCCTGAGTAGGAGTCCCAGCAAACACCACCACCACCCCAATTTCAGAGGGAGAAAGAGAAATACAACTTAGGCTAAATAAATGGAGACTTGTCTGCATCTTCTCCCCATCCGAAGGACGACATACCCATTCCCACTTGCTTCTGAAATTCAGAAGCATCCATTGTGCTCTTGCTGAATGAATCAGCTAGGTAGTCTCTCTCCCTCCAGCTTTTCCTCAGTGTGGTTGGCCGTCTTGATGGTGATGCTTCAGAAGGTGAGGAAATATCTTAAACTCACATCTTTCTACAATGATCCAAAGAACAGTTTCTTTTTGGTTTGTTTGTTTGTTTGTTTTAGTTTTTAGAGACAGGGTTTCTCCGTGTAGTTTCGGTATCTGTCCTGGATCTCGCTCTGTAGACCAGGCTGGCCTCAAACTCACAGAGATCCACCTGTCTCTGCCTCCAGAGTACTGAGATTAAAGGCGTGCACCACCACCACCGGCCAGGTCGACCTTTCTAAGAGACTCCATTCACTGAAGCACACTTTTGGAGACTGTGCTTATGTGTATCTGTGTTTTGCCTGCACACGTCTGTGCACCATGTGTGTGCAGTGCCCTCAGAGGCCAGAGGAGGGCGTCCTATTCTCTGGAACTGGAGTTTCAGATGGTTGTGAGCAAACTGTGGGTGCTGAGAGTTGAACCCTGATCCTCTGGAAGAGCAGCCAGTGCTCTTAGCTGCTGAGCCATCTCTCCAGCCCCTGAAGGAGTATTTCTGTTGTTCTGTCTTGAATTGTTTGTGGATTTGGAGGTTCTGATCATTTGATCTTTGGTTTGATCCGACAGAGAGTTATATTCAAAGTTCTTTCCCCCTTGTGGAAGACTTTCTCTACCACCAGAGACTCTGAAAGTTCGATTTTACTCAGATCCATCTTTTACATTTTATTTTACTTACATTAATTTTGGCGCTAGGAGTGGAACCCAGTGCCTCCCACACACCAGGCAGGAGGTCCGCGGCTGAGCTACATCCCCAGTCTCAATGTACCTCGGCTGCCATTTCCACACCCCTCCCAGCATCATCTCCCACACATTCCAGCCTGCCCTCCAGTGAGTTCTCCATCATCCCTTGATGGCCCAAATGTTCAGTTTCCAGTCTTTTCTCTCCAGGCCTATTCCTGAGTCATCCCCCCAAGTATTTAGACAAGCTCTAAGTTCATCTTTTCCAAGACATTTTCCTGAATAATTTTACCTCCCTCCATACAATTACCTAGATGTAATCTCACCCCTTTCCTCTCTCTCAGTCCCACCTTTGTGATTTTGGATTTATCTGCATCTGTTTTCAGTTTGGCTCTCTAACATATGAGTCCTAGGGAACCTCCTCTCTTTATCCTATGTCCAAGAAATGCGTGTTGACTGACTGAATACCCCGGGTGCCACACAAAAGTTCTTGAGAGAGCATAGTTAGTTTTTTTTTTTTTTTTAATACTGAAAAAAAATCTTAAGTCAAAGAGGGAATATGATCTATCTGATCCTCCTGAAACTGTAAGGCTCTGTCAACAACTATTTGGAGATAAATTCTTAGGCAATTAGATCATGATAGTTCGCTTTCAAACAGCAGAGAGAGATGAATATAACCTTTAGAAGAAGGAGAGGAGAGAAAAGATGTGAAGCATTGGAATTTGGCTCTCCAGCTCATGTTGGGCTATTGCAACACTCCCAGAATTCAAAGGCTTACAAAAAGAAAAGTTGGCTTGGAAGGGTCTAAGTCAAGCATTGGACACGCTCTCTGAATTGCTTATCCCTGATACAAATCCTCAAATATTCTTCTCATCACAGTGCCAGCCGCACACATTTCCTCTCAAGGGTTCTTCTATTCACTAGTTTCAGACTGAGAGAGATTCAAAGATGTCGGAGCCAAGAATTCAAGTTGGGACCTCAGGTTCCATGTAGACTTCAATTCCCAACCTCTTTCAGAGTTCTTAATCAACCTTCAGCCTTGCCCTAAATGGATGTTTAACCCCAAGTGTGTTTCCTGTTTGCTTATTTGTTTGTTTTACTCTTGCTACTCTGTTTTGTCGTATAATTAGCATCCTGACCCATGCAGCTTTTCCTGATCTGGTGGTTTAGTACATGTCCACTTCACATATCTCCCTTCAAAAGGTTACAGTGGCTGGCTCATGTCCAATACTGATGTGGACTGAAGTGAGGTACACGGCTTTGGAAACAGTCTATCTTAGCCCACTCTTTGTGGCTATCCTTTTTTGTTTGTTTTGTTTTGTTTTTCGAGACAGGGTTTCTCTGTGTAACAGCTCTGGATGTCCTGGAACTCTCTGTAGACCAGGCTGGCCTCGAACTCACAGAGATCTGCCTGCCTCTGCCTCCAGAGTGCTGGGATTAAAGGTGTGCGCCACCACTGCCTGGCTCTGTTGTTGTCTCAGGGTTTGTTTGTTTGTTTGTTTGTTTATTGCTGTGAAGAGACATCATGACCACAGCAACTCTTATCAAGAAAATATTTCATTAAGGTGGCTCACTTACAGTTTTAGAGGATCGGTCCATTATCATCATGACAGGAAGTATGGTGGCGGCAGGCAGACATGGCACTGGAGGAGTAGCTGAGAGTCCCACATCTTGCAGGCAACAGGAAATCAACTGAGACACTGGGCAGTATCCTGAGCATAGGAAACCTCAAAGCTCACTCCCACAGTGACACACTTCCTCCAACAAAGCCACACCCACTCCAACAAAGCCATACCTCCTAATTGTACCATGCCCTGTGAGATTATATGGGTCAGGGCTTTGTTTTGTTTGAGGTTTTTTTTTTTGGGGGGGGTGTCTTTTTTTTGGGGGGGGGAGTTTCAAGACAGGGTTTCTCCATGCAGTTTTGGCGCCTGTCCTGGATTTTGCTCTGTAGACCAGGCTGGCCTCGAACTCACAGAGATCCTCCTAGCTCTGCCTCCTGAGTGCTGGGACTAAAGGCGTGCGCCACCACCGCCCAGCTTATGTGGGTCAATTATATTCAAACTACCACATTCTACTCCTTGGCCCCAGAAGCTTGTAATAATATCAAAATGCAAAATGCATACTTCCAACATATAATGTCACAGGATATGCATTACCATTGCAAAACACAGGGGAGGAAGAGTAGTGAGGAAATACTGGACCAAAGCAACACAGAAAACCAGGCCAATTACATTCAAACCACCACAGTTGCCATAGCAGAATACGTGAGCCTGGGTGATCTGTAAAGAACAGAGACTTGTTCTGGCTCATTGTTCTGGAGACCGAGGAATCCCAGAGCGCAGCATTACATCAGCACCTGCTTGGGGGGGTGGGGGGTGCTGATAAAATAAAAGTACAAAGGGTAGCCAGTTAGTACACTCGGGTTCTAAGAACTCACTCCTACAATAACTGACGTACACTCAGCAGCATGACAACACCCTCATTGCCTCAAAAATGAGCCCACCCCGCGGGGAGGAGCATCATACCCTGTCACTCGTGAAGGCCAAGCCCAGACACCTACTGAAGGTCTCACCACCTCTCAGCTCTGGGGCACAGGGCGGGGATCAAGTTGCAACATGAGCAGGAAGACATCTTGTAGGAGGAGTTTTTTTGTGGTTATTTTGGTTTGGTCTCACTGTCACCCCGGCTGGTCTGGAACG